GAAAAGGTAGATATTACTACATTAAAAAAAAACATAAAGGGATAATTCCTTCTGTTATAAACAAATATCCTACAGTTGTAAAATCAAACAATAAGAGAACTGTATCCCTTGATCAATGTACATATATGTATATACAAATATAATATGGAATGGAGTTTAAACTCCTACTTCTCTGTACCTGATAGGATTAATGATGACGGCTTACAGTGTACAATGTAGCAATTTATTGCGGATGACATCATTGTCTATTTCCATCTGTTGAGGGATCCTCAATAAGCACAAACTGTGGATCTGTGCAGGCACGAATAAAATAAGGGTCAATTACCAATCTTAGAGTGTACGGGAATTTGTTCCATGATGGTAAGGGAGGCAGGAAGGGGGGCATTTACAACACCTCCCAGTCTACGAGAGTTTGTATGTAAAGAAGACTCACCATTCAGCATTTTGCTGGAACATATTTTGATATCTACAAACCAACAATTTTCTAACTAATGAGAACACATTTTATATCTGTAATAAAACATTTAATCATCATCAGATTTAAATGCAAAAACATGGATGTTCCGTTCCATTGTGATGGAGGTTACTCCCCCTGTCATCCATAATCTGACGAATTAGTTATTCATGTCCAGTTCTGGGTTATTTAGTATTCAACCAATACTAAAATATATACAGTAAATAATGTATAAAGAAACCAATACCAACGATCCAAACTAAACTGCAAAATGAAACATTGGTAGCGATCAATCACATAAGGAAATATATCAATCATAAATAAGTAAGTATTGTAAAATGAAAAGTGGTATCAGGTGTCTAGAAGAGTAAGCATAGCCTGCCTGGCGCCATACCCGTCACTGAATGTATCAAATACTATATGTGAGGGTATCTATTGATTTATATTGTGTTGTCTTACAAGTTTTAACAGTATCTATGATTGGTTAGGATGAATTATCACAAACTGTGGATGGTCATTGGATCTTGACAGATCACCAAATATAGATGAAGTTTGGGTTAGTGGATCCACCTGCAAAAAAAGGAACGTAACATAAACATCTGTATGATAATCATATTTAAATCAAAATGTTAAAAATTACTTTATTCTGCATCAGACTCTGAAACCTAACAATCAGGGGACTGCATTCCACCTGCATAATAAAAGTCCCTTCCCACCACAGTTAAAAGAGTACCCTACCAAAATAAGTAACCCTACTTTAGCAGGGGCATAACAGGGACTACATTCCTTCAGATAAAAAAAAGTCCCCTCTCCATAAACAAGCCACAGGATTAACCACTAATAGAGCAAGGGCCTAACAGTTAATCTGTATTTCTAAAAAAAAAGAGTATAAGTTAAGAAACTTACTATATTTTGTCCTATCGGCCTCTTTCTAATATTTATGGGGCCATTTTACCTAATTATTTTACATAATTTGAATTTTGTAGACTGATTTTATCTGAACTCTTCATATAACTGTAAAAAGAAATATCATTTTGAGAATAAATTATTCATTGACAAGAAATAATATCTGAGACATCATTTGTCTTGAATTGTCTTTAAAAGTACAATAGAAATAAACTAATAAAGGGATATAACTCTAATCATACATCCTTTTCAACAATTTAACAAGTTCATTTCTGAAATCTAACCATAAGAAACTTGCATACATCTAATCACCATCCCAACCCCCAGTTCTAAACCAGGCTACCCTCACTCCTACCTTAATATCATTTTCTAGACTAATAAATATAGGCCACTCTCTCTTTAATACCCCCCACCCCCTATCTTATTATAAACTAACAAATATAGGCCACCTTCTCTTTAATACCCCCCACCCCCTATCTTATTATAAACTAACAAATATAGGCCACCCTCTCTTTAATACCCCCACCCCCTAATTTTAAACCAGACTACCCTCATTCCTATCTTAATATCCTATTATAAACGTACAAACGCAGGCCACCCTCTCTTTAATACCCCCCACCCCCTATCTTATAGGCCACCCTCTCTTTAATACCCCCCACCCCCTATCTTATTATAAACTAACAAATATAGGCCACCCTCTCTTTAATACCCCCACCCCCTAATTCTAAACCAGACTACCCTCATTCCTATCTTAATATCTTATTATAAACTAACAAATACAGGCCACCCTCTCTTTAATATCCCCACCCCCTAATTCTAAACCAGACTACCCTCATCCCTACCTTAATATCTTATTATAAACTAACAAATATAGGCCACCCTCTCTTGAATATCCCCACTCCCTAATTCTAAACCAGGCTACACTCATTCCTACCTTAATATCTTATTATAAACTAACAAATATAGGTCACCCTCTCTTTAATACCCCCACCCCCTAATTCTAAACCAGACTACCCTCATCCCTACATTAATATCTTATTATAAACTAACAAATATAGGCCACCCTCTCTTTAATACCCCCACCCCCTAATTCTAAACCAAACTACCATCATTCCTACCTTAATATCTTATTATAAACTAACAAATATAGGCCACCCTCTCTTGAAAACCCCCACCCCCTAATTCTAAACCAAACTACCATCATTCCTACCTTAATATCTTATTATAAACTAACAAATATAGGCCACCCTCTCTTGAATATCCCGACCCCCTAATTCTAAACCAGACTACCATCATTCCTACCTTAATATCTTATTATAAACTAACAAATTTAGGCCACCCTCTCTTTAATACCCCCACCCCCTAATTCTAAACCAAACTACACTCATCCCTACTTTAATATCATTTTATAAAGAAATATGGGCCACCCTCTCTTTAACATCCCCACCCCCCAGAAATGTAGCTGGGCAGGACATGGAATATCACTTAAAAGCTAATTAAAAAA